GTCCTCCGAGGGCGCCCTCCATCCGTATTTTCCCTGTAAACACATTCGCGATTGGAGGGCGCCCTCAAGTCGCGATTGTTTTTCGATTCGATTATATCACAATTGCATTTGCGATTGGAGGGCGCCTTCGGCGCCCTCCAATCGCAAAGGGCGCCTTCGGCGCCCAAGGGGGGGCCATGGCCCAGTGGCCCCCCCCCCTGCCTACGCCCCTGCCGACCAATCAGATCCGCTCCGCCTGCCATGACGGTTCGGTGTTGTTATTCACTATTCAGCCTATGCGGCGTATCGAGCTATCGCATCACTGAAATCAAGGACAAGTGTCCTCATGAACATCAATTTCCCAGGAATGCATTAGCTGCTGCATGCCTATTGCCTACCTCCCAAACACGACCCATACCGACTCAATTCACGGAAGCCGTCAATGCTGAGCACATCCCCTCCATATCCCACACCTGTAACTCGTCTTTCCGCGAGCTGGCTGTCGCACCCCGAAGGACACCCTCTTATGCGTGAGCCTACAAGCTTTCCGTGGCTTTGAGCCACACTCCCCTTGCCAACATATCACAAATGTCTTCACTCAGCTACAGCTACCTGTCCAACAGCCAACAGCCGTTCCCCTCGCCCGATTACCCACCCTCCTTGACCCTACAGTAGCTCTCCTCGTCCGTTCACCCACCTCTCCATGAGCCGACAGTCGCGCTGCCAGTCGTCTCCCAGCACCAGTGCCGTGTCGGCACCCAGTTGTCGCCGCGAGCGCTGCTCAGCCTGCTGCGGATCGGCGACCGGTCGCGGCGGCAGCGGGGGCAGGATCACCCCCGGACTGCGGCCTCCTCCCGACAGACACTGCTCCAGATACTCGAGGTCCTCGAACTGACGCTCGATCCGCCAGGTCTGCTGTGGTGGTCCCGTCTGGGGAGGGAGAGGATAGGATCAGTCGCCTTTGTGAAGTGGGGGCTACTGCTTGAGAAGAAAATGGAGGTAATGGGTTCAGTCACCACAGAATGTAAATCGCCGACGATAACTGCAGAGATGGAATGGTGAAACCAATACGCCGCTAAACGGCGCGCTTACGATCAGTGAGTTGCCAGTTCGTACGCTCGCTGAGTGCAAGTGTTTGCTATTTTGAGACAGATGGTTGGTAGTTGGCACAAAATAAAAGCTAGGCATTACATAATCCGAAACTTAGCATAGCGCTATGAACAGATTATGGTCACCAGTCGCAGGATGAATATTACGCGGGACATTGTATACCGCTCAGTAAAACCTCAGTTATTTATTACACTATGGTAAAACCCTGCATCTCCGTTGGTCACGATGTAAAGAACAATGTTAATCTCACCCTATTTTTGCTGGATCTTATGAATAATTCCCGTCAGACTCATACCCAAACCATATCAATTATGATATCGATATTCGGATTCCTCCTCTGAGCAGTCGCTGTATGGTAAATTTCGTCTCTGAGTCTTACACCTCAGCTTTCGTCAAGGCACACCTCACTAACAAACTTGCACCTCTGCCTCACCACCACACCGCCAAATGTAAGCGGATTGATTGTTGCTGATAGCAGACCAGTTGTGGGCGGGCGAATGCATTACATGACTTAGTGTTTAATCAAGCGTGCGTCAGGGACCACAGTGAAAGGAAACTCGCAAATGGTACCGTTCTCGTATCGCCGGAAGGGCGGTTCTAAAAATACGCCGATTGCCTTTCACGTTACATCGCTGCGCTAAGGGCAGTAAATCTGATACTGATTCACTCAAAAAGTGTACCTCATTTAACGCGAGACGGATCGCATTACCGAAAGGTCAACGGCCCACCTGGCAACTTTAAACGGCAACTTAAACCTATTCCTCTCCTCACAGCCGGTCCGATCCATTGCGGCGGAGTAAAGTCGGTAATGTAACCCTACCCGGACGCCGGCCGGGAGGGGGGGGGGGCGACCCGACAGAATCGGATACCCTGCACCTCCCCCCCCCCTCCCCTCCCCTCCCTTGAACACACCGACAAACGCAACAGCGGCCGTCTGCTGATCCGGTCCGCTGCTTCGGATAGCCACAGGGAGAAGAAACTAAGGAAGCATCTAAAACGACGCGATCACATCATCAAGAAACAAATAAAAAATACAAGAACTGAAAAACAATGCCAAAAGATGCATGCAAGTAACAATGTTTTATTGTTGATGCTTTATGGCGCACTCGTCGCAAATTTGGCACCTATAATTATCCGAAACACCCCCAGTGACCATAGCGGCCCCAGCACAGTCCCTTGCACTGATCCAATGTCCCAGCCCCCACCCATCTCCAGCACCTTTCCTTTCCTCCATCACATAATCGCGGAAGCTCACCTTCGTAACCTGTATCCTATAGCAGATGACGTCACCGCTCTTGGTGACCTCATCAGTAAACAGTACGGAGTAGAGCGGCTGCAGCGGCCCCGTCGGCTCCGGACTGGAGGCGTCCGAAGAGGCCTCCTCCTCCTCCGGCTCCGGGTCCGGCCGCTCCGCATCGTCACTGCCCTCGGCCGGCTGGTCGTCCTTGCTCCGGTCCGTCTGTTGGTGATGGAACAGTAGTGAGCGCTGGCTTCGAGCAGGATGGGGATTGTAAGTTAACTTGAGAATTAATAGTGTTGCTGTTCGGTTCGATATCGCGGCTGGCGGTTCACTCAATCGGCACGCTCGCTGTCGGCTGCGGTTATATTCAGTCGTGCCAGGAAGAGGATTGTCGGGTCCTCTCCCTGGCGACACTCGTTGAGCAACTGCTCCGGCCCAGACGCGGCCGTCGGCCCAGGACGGTGACAAGTGGCCCACACATGGCCTCACACGGCTCGGGCCGCCGAGGGCCGGCCGGCCGGAAGCGACGAGGAGAACGGTTGACAGACAAAACACGCGTTGGGAGATAAATCAGAATCAAAAGTCAAGAGTTCACAGCACAGCCGACATTTTAATAAGAACGGGAAACTCGTGACCAATTTGTACGGAACAAATAGGAAAATATGATAAGTAATGAAGTAAGGGATGGATTCTAGTACCTATCATGCTATAAAATGCCTAGCGAATCCAATATTTTTTAAAGCCAGTTGGTGAGTAAAATATGATAAACAATGAAGTAAGGTCCTAGTACATAATCCTATCATGCAATAAAATACCTTAATCCAATATTTTAGAGGTCATTTGGTGTGATGGTCCCATTTTCATCAAGCAGTTTGCTGGTCCAGTAAGGAATATGGTACATTATTATACTGATTGACTGATGATGATGATTTGTGATTTTAGGGTACCTATCTTGACTTCAGAGGTCATCAGCACCCATCTGAATGACTGAGTCAGTCTAAAAAAAACTAAAGCGATTTAGCTCACTATTTTTAAATTCAGAGTTGGGTTTTAATTATTAAGTGCCCATTTAGAAACAAATTTAGTATGACAGGCATAAATGACACCAATAACAAGTCACTTTTTGAAAGTAATATTCTAAAAAGATGGAGGAAGTAGCAAACCAGCATTCAAACCAACAGCATTGCTCACCTTTTCAGCATGGGGTTCTGCAATGATTGTCTCAGTGGTTGGTTGATTCTTTGGTTTAAAGATGTCATCATCGCTGATATCTCTTGGCATTTGTTTACCCACAGACTCCTGCACAGCTGGATCAGTGGTTGCCTCCATCATCTTGGCAATTATTATATTATTGATGGATTTGGTTTAGGTAGCTGAAAAATGTCAGATCAAAATGTCAAAACTGACATATCATATTCAATCATCAGTTCATCACTTCACACTTCCTTTCCACATAGTTTATAAGACACCTTACCTTGACCTGCTCCCATGATAAGACTAAGAGCACCATCCAGAGTCCTTAGAACTACAAGACTGACTGTGTAAGTGTGCACACTGGCAGATAAGTTGGTGTTTGGTACCATTAAGTTAATTTGGTGTGATTCCCCTGCGGTGCAGTACCCAAAGTTGACATAATATTCCTGTCTATCTGGCTAGAACGAAAACATAAGACCTGCAAAGGGCTTGTTCTAGACTGCACAAAAAGACAAGTGGAAGCTAAATCATGTGTATTTAAATAATCATAACTTTTTTTAGAGTATGCTGCCCACCTCACACCCACAGTATCCATAACCAGGCAAGTTTTGTTGGCACAAATCAAAATCTTTGTCCCTTATTCTTATTCATTAAACTTCTGCATAAGGCCAAACTAAAGCTATGATGTATTATGATAGGTGGGGTTAGGTTAAGTCAGCTTAGTCTAGGTTATGTTATGCCCAGACCAAAACTTGTCCTGGAATCACTTATCACAGCATCTCAGAACTTTTCTCGGACTGCCAGTGACTGCATCATCTAAATTACACAATTCCGTCAAGAACTGAACAACTAGACACATTTAGGAGCAAGCAATTATTTCGTAATGTAATTTTAAAGTTTCTATCATTCATAATTACTAATTTGTGACAGTGGGAACTGGGAAGAAGCGGTGCAATGACCGCCTCGCCCACCCCATTGCAATGGACTGTTCTTGCCGCTCATACTTCGTTCCTGAAACTGTCCGAAACGATGGATCAATATATGTCAATAACTCATTCAACAGGCGCATTTCATCGAAGATATGATAACTCAAGAAAATGGGAAGTGGAAACACCACACACAACTCCACTTCGACGACACCGCTTGCAAAGTGTGCAATGTTTTTTGTGCAGTTGTCTTTTCCGCCACGTTTGCCTCAATTGCCGCAAGCTCTCTTAAGACAAGGCCACTAAATTAAGATTGCACGCTTAGCATTGGTCATTTATCGTATGCTTGCCCATCCAACTCAGCTCGGAAGAAAATACTAAACCTGAATTGTGATTAATTTCAGTCTTCCGTCAAACAGCGGATGAGCGAATGCATTATGGAAAACAAAGTCGAGCAGTAATATAGCTAACTATATGTTCGGCGATATTTCAATTCGGACCACGCACCACGTTCGCAGCGGGATATCAGAGACCAACCAGGAAAACAATTATTGTCGCTCATTCAGTATATTTACTACGTGTCTCATATTCACGTAATGACCAACCATTCTGTGCTGTTCTGATGAGAATGAGACGTTCGGCGCCCTCCATCCCTGCCGCCGGCGCCGGATCGAGGATGCCGCGTGTGTTCCTCCGCCCTGCCGTTTCTACACGATGGTAATGCCCACTCTCACTCGAACATTTCACACACCGTCTAATACCCAGTCGACGGCACATCCTCAGTTCACTGCCAAGGGACCTGCCACGACTAGAAAAAGAGCCGCATTCAAGCCTACAGCGCACAGCGGGCTTCCGACTACATAAATCGCAACAAAAATGTCGCACAGCTTCAAAAAAATATTTCACCTACGAGCAGAAGCGTTACTGTTCACCAGTAACCTCGGGATTCACCCGTTGGACTGTATGCGCTTCCTCGGCCCGAGGGGGCACGAACTATGTACCACTACCATCCGCTCTCTCGCGTTCACGTCACACCGTTGTCTTTCACTAGCACTCTTACGGTCGCGCCGCAGGCACTCTCAGCGGGCCGAGGGATCCGCGGGAGGGGCGGCCGGTGTTGGAGGGGTCGCCGCCGCGGCCGCGGGAGGCTTCGGCGCCGCACTCTGAAACAGAATAGGACCCTTGGTGTCAGGTGGGTGAAGCAGTTAGACCAGCTACTAATAATTCACCCATATTTCAGAACAAAATTCGAGTTCAAATCACTATCCCACACACTATCCATCCCATTTCGTTCCTTCTTATGATTCGGGCATACATTTACAAGAACTGAATCAAGCAGTCCGCTTTTTTGTAAATCGCCTTCCTTTTGTCAGCATTTAGTTATACACACCGTGTCAGCCTAATGGCGGCGTAACTCCGCCGAGTCTGCCATTCCGTAAGACATTGACATTCAAGTAGGACAGCCACAAGTGTTGCAGTGAAACATCAGAATCGGTGTACAATTCATTCCCGGAGAAACATGTTTCACTGCGACACATTCTCTGAGAATAATTAGCTAGAAGTGTCCCAGGAAATGAGCTCTTTTTTTTAGGTTTTTTCACTTTATTTTCAATACAACATAACATTTTCATGTGCACACTTTGGTTTTACACTTAGCATACCTTATATTACACATCAGGTAATACATTGCATACTTCCATTTCACACACATTTTTTTCCTGCCCCGCCCCGCATCGCCCCGCGAAATTACACATATTCCCGTTCTCGCTGGGGCGATGCCCCAGGCCGCCGGCCGGGCCCGCGACCCGTCAACCCGGTAGGTTGGCGAGCCGCGCGCCCGGCCGGCCGGCCGACCCTTTATAGTGTCGGCCTCCGGTTAGCCGGGTTGGGTTAGGGGCGGGCAGGATGCGTGAACTCCTTTTTCCCACGGCTCCATCGTCCTCAGCTATAGGGACAACACTACGGAAACAAACACCATCGTGCGTGCACAAACACCGGTCGTGGTGGCTGTTGCCACCCCGACCTCTGCCCCCGCCCGCGCCGTCCCGCACCTCGGTGCGTCTACTCACGCGAGGCGGCGCCCCCTAACCACCGGCCCGCCCCGCGGGCCACAGGCGGTCCGAGGGACGGGCCGGCGGCCCGGCCTGCCCAGCATATGCTGGGGGGCCGGGCACGGGTTGGCCCGGATGGGGTAGGGCGGGGGCCTTTCGTCTCATAGGGAGACGCCCGTTTCAAGATCGAACTGCGACCATTTACCGGCAAAAACACCCATTGTTTCATTTATTTGAGCCCAATACTTTTCACTTTCTTTATCAGCTTGGAGATAGCCCAGAAATGTGAATATCGATGGGTTTCTGTTGGATTGCAAAATATGAGTACCTAAACTGATTAAATGATTTGCAAGTTTGTCATTGCCCTCTCCTAGTAGCACTTCTTTCATACGTATTTTCTCTGTAATTCTGGTAAGGTTTTTTAAATCGAGCCAGTTTGTCAACTCTAACCATAGGCTCTGTGCTCTACGGCAGTACCAAAATTTGTGGGAAATGTCTTCGAGCTGGTCGCAGTGATCACACTTTCCGGATTCCTTTATGTTCATTTGATTTAACAGTTTGTTTGTGGCAGCTATTCTAGTAATCATTTTATACCTAAGACCCCTATATTGTGATGGAGTTTCCATTAAAGATCCGTACACCTCGGTCCAATTTACGTCTGGTATAACACTCTCCCATTTGCTCTCCCATTTATTGCGATGACTTTTTGTTTTATTTTTTGATAATATTTCGTGTAAGTGACTAGAGCGGGTCGATGGATCAATGATGAATCCAATCTTTGGATCTATGATTGGCTGGGTAATTGTCTTTTTTCCTGTAGAACTGACCCACTGTTCTGGCAGGCTTCTTAATAAGGATGCATAATCCAGGAAGTTCACCCTCAACGAGAATGAATTTCTAAATTCTGCGATGTTCATTAACGATCCATCCACTTTGAGCAGATCGTTCAATGTCCTTACCCCATGTTCGTACCATTGGCATATCCATGAATCTTTAAACTTTGTGTAATTAGAGAAAAAGATATTGCTTACGGTTATATCACTAATGTCCATTTGGAAGCACTCTTTGAAATCAGCCAGGGCTAGCATAACCTCCTTCCAAAACTGGTTCCTTATACCGGGAGCTTTTTTCCTTATAGCGATTGCTTCCATTTGCCATACGGGTATCGATTTTTTCAGGACATTTTCTGCAATGCTGACCCAAGCACTGTTCTTTGACACGAGTCTCTTTAGCCAGCTAATTTTTAAGGCGGATATATACGTTTTGATGTCTATCATTCCAACACCTCCTGATAAGGCTGTTTTTTCCAGAGAGGCACGGCTAATTCTTTCATTCTTTCCATGCCAAAGAAACTTGTATAACAATGTCGTCAATTTCTTTATTACTTCTAAGGATGGATTCGGAATAGAAATCAAAAGGTAGCTTATCTTGGACAGCATCAATGACTTAATCACAGTTACCTTTCCATGTAATGATATATTGCGATTCATCCACTTATCTATTTCTCGTTTGATCTCAGTAATCTTGTCCATGTACACCTCACCCGTCTTTTGCAGATTAGAATCGAAAGAAACACCCAAAATTTTGAGCGTCCTGCTCCATTGTATTTCGATATTCCTCTCTAGTGCTGTTCTGTGGCTGCAGGGTGCTCCTATCCACATCGCTTTTGTTTTGTCTATGTTTGGCTTCAACCCAGAGAATTTGGCGAACCAACCAAGCTCACTGAATAGTGCATTAAAACTTTGCAATTTAGGTTTCAGGAAACAAACAGTATCATCCGCATACATTGCTATTTTTACATCCGTCCCTGCTGGTTTCAGTCCCTCAATGTCTCGATTTTGCTCAATTTTCCTTTCCAGTATGTCCATTACTAATATAAAGAGATAACAACTTAATGCATCGCCCTGCCGACATGATCTACCTAGTTGGATTTCGTCTGACAGGTGACCATTATAAAGGACTCTTGCAAATGCCCCCTTATACAGCGTATCAAACCACTGTATTATATAAGGCGGAAACTTCCTAAACTGTAGTACGTCTCTGATGAATCTCCAGCTGACAGAGTCAAAGGCGGCTTCTATGTCGAGACTAAGAAGGATACCTGATGCGTGTTCATCTTGCATGCATTGAATCGTATCGTATATAAGCCTTATGTTATCTCCTATAAACCTATTTTGGAGGAAAGCAGTCTGATTTGCGGCAATTATGTCGTTTAGTACAATTTTTAATCTGTTTGCGATCGTAGCAGATATAATCTTATAGTGCACGTTAAGCAACGTTATAGGTCTATACGACTGTACTAACTCACGTGGTTTGCCTGGTTTTGGGAGCAGTACGACTATTCCCTCCTTCATTGTTTTTGAGACAGACCCCTTGCTAAAGCAATGCTCACACATTGCTATAAAAAATGACTTCAAATCAGCCCAGAAAAATTTGTAGAATTCTACTGTGAAACCGTCACTACCGGGGGAAGTTCCATTTTTCATACGCATGAGCGTCTTCCCTAACTCTTCGACAGTGATTGGCTTTTGCAACTCACATTTCTCTTTCGGCCCTATATTTCTAGTTTCTATGTCATTTAAATACTCGCTGCACTCATCCTCGTCTAATATAACATCTTTATTGCTAAACTTGTTCTGGAAAAATTCTTTGAAGGCTCTTAAGATTTCTGTTTGAGATTCTTTAATACCGCCCCTGGTTTTTAAATACGCAATCCTCTTGCTGTCAAATCTCCTTTTCTCTAGCGTTAAGAAATACTTCGACGGCTTCTCAGAGAGTTGCCTCCAAATTGCTCTCGATCTAATAACGCTTCCCTTGAGTCTGTGCTCCCTTAGATGTTCCAATTCCTTTTTTTGTTCCTGCAATTCCTCCATTTTCTCGGGATCTCCAAAGAGATCCACTTCTCTCTCACTTATTACAATGGAGGCTTGTAATTCTTCCTCTCTTTTCCGCTCGGTTCTCCTTTTATTGATTCCGCAAGAAATCGTTTCCCTACGTATAGTAAGAAGCAAAACTTCAAAGAAAAGGGAAGGGTCTATCGACATTTGCACTGTCGATGGATTTACTACATACTTCGGTTCGTAAACTGGGAGTGCATATTCACGAACTACCCCAAGTATAGCCTGCTTTACAGCTTTGACGTACCTTTTATCATTTAAGAGGGAAGCATTAAATTTAAACAGGCCCCTTCCTTTAGTTTGTTGCGTTAAATTCATATCTAGCGTTACTATCGAGTGGTCAGATCGATACCCTGGTAAAATATCAGTTTTCGTAATGTACCCCTCCAGACTTTTACTAATAAGAAACATATCTAGCCTTGCTTGTTTAACTGGTGGACCGTTAACTCTCCATGTGAAACGTTTAGCATCGGGGTTTTTTATTCTGTAAATATCAATGAGATCTTTCTCAGACATAATCTTCTTAACACATTCTCTCGCTCTCGTGTTGTTGTGTCGTCGATAGTTGAAATTATCCTGGTTCTGAACAAGCGTTAAATTGAAGTCCCCACCAATTATTAGGGGAACATTTTCGTCTGCAATGCAGTCATTGATGCGCGTAACCACTGATCTATAGAAATCCGGATCATCGTTGTTTGGTCCATATATGTTTACTAAACAGAAATCCCAGCAGTTGTCTATCTTGGCTCTGGTGACAATGAAGTTGCCGTTTGTATCTAAAGAAGTGCTACTGAAGCTGACATCCACACTATTGACTAAGATGGCCACACCTCGCGCATTGTTTGTGTAAGGTGCTACAATGACTTCGTTTCCCCAACAGTTTCTGAAAAAAAGGATTCCAGTTTCAGTACAGTGTATGTCCTGAAGCATTGCTATGTTAACTTTTTGATTCCGTAAATGGCTGAAAACATCTTTTCTTTTCTTGTAGTCCTTCAATCCCCTACAGTTCAACGAAATGATTCTTAGTTCATCCATTTAGGATAGTATTTTCTCTCTCTCGTTCTCTTTGGCCAATGTTTTGAGCTGGAAAGTTTGGCATCTCTGCATGATAAACGGTAGCAGCTCGTAAAGTAGCAGTATCTACATAGAAGAAAACAATAAAGAAAAATGTGTGTACAATGTTTCCGAACAAGCAAACCCCTAAACACAGACACTTTAAAACTTAGTCTAAAAGGCATTGCTTTGATCGACCTTCGGCTCAACTCCAGTAGGAGCGAATATCACGTGCACCTCTACCATTGCCACCCCCTCTTCCCCGGGCGTACGCCGCCGTCCTCCCACTCCCACGCTCCGTCATGTGAATCGCCCTCCCCGGCGGAGCACCCGCACCCCGAATTGCCGGAGTCGGCGAGAGATGGCGCTCACAACTCGCTCCACCCCGCCCCACCCCATCCCGCGAGCGACCTGCCGGAACGCTGGACGGTCGCCGGGCGCGCTCTCCCACGCTCTGCACCCCGCGAGCCCTCCCCTCACCCTCTACCCGAGGCCGGTCTGACGAGGGCGTGGCCGACTCTCCACTCTCTCTGAGCTCCGGCCGAGCTCCACCACCTCCGCCTGGGAGGTCAGCCACGCAAATCGGGCCAGGTTGACAGTCCATAGGCGGCACCAGCTCAGAGACTCGGTCAGCCAGTACAGGCCGCGAATATAGGACAGCCGTCCCCGCCGCAGTAGACGTCTCACTCGGCCCGCCGTTGTCCAGCTCCCCGGCTCCGCCACGCTGCTGGGACCCCTGAGGGCCCGGTCGCGAGCTTTGAGGCAAGGGCGGACTCAGGTGAGCGGGTTGGTTGGTATTCTCAGCCGGCGCCGGTCCACCACCGGCCCGCGCCGCCCCGCTCCCACCAGCACCCGGGACCGCCCGGTCAGCGGCCGTCTGGCAGTCTCCGGTCGCATGGGCGGCGCCAGGCACCACCGACGGGGGGAGCGGGGGAGCATCAGCATCCTGTCCCGAGAGAAGCCTGCTGAGACGATCCAATTCTTCTTGGCTTCTAACTCGACTGAGTCTCTCACCTCTGCTGACGGCATACAAAATCTCACCGCCTCGAGATAGTACAGAGGCTATAAGACCTTGTTTTCGTTTTTGCAGCAGCTGATTGAACAGCTCCTGTCTCAGTGGCGTCAACAACTCATTTATGTATATTCTTTGACCTCTTAATCTATTTTTTGACCGAAAGATGAGGTCCCTGAGCGATCCCTTCTCAGCATTGGTGAATTTCACCAGGACTCTGTCTCTGTTCAAACGTTTGATGTAGGCGATTTCTCCTGGGTGAACGTCCAATTCAAGGCAACGGTTGATCACCGCGGTGATGACAGATCTCAGACGATCATCTTGGTCTGGGAGATGGAGGTCTTGTCCAGCGAATACTAGCGATGATAGCCTATTCGCTCTCTCTCTCTCTCTCCTCCATCAGGAAATGAGCTCTTGGTGGTTTACCGGGCAATTACTGCCTCAGTAAACTGCCTAACACATCAACTCTCTTTAAAAGTACCGATTCATTTGTTCTAGACCCGGCTAGCGATGATGATTTGCCAGACTGCAGAAGTTAGCAACACCCACCCAGTCCCCATCGTTCGTACCGAGTCTGGTTGTGATGTGCTCGCTGCCGCCGCTGTCTGACTGCTCCCCGCGTCGGCCGGCGCTGGGCCGTCAGCGGGTGTGGTGCGAGGTACAGCGGGCGGCAGGTTCAGTCCGTGGTTTGCAGCCTCAGTCCGCAGCCGATCAGCCACGGCGCTCTTCAGGTCATCGGGAGAGAATCCACTGCTGCGGAGGAGCTCGACGGCCGCCTGGGGGCCTTCTCGGTCCACTGGGAGGGCAAAAATAGTGTGGTGAGACGAGTTGTCAGGGAATAAACAAAACGGTGAGATAGGGAGCACCGATAAATAACACCACTTCAGGGTGTCACTTATTCATGGAAGCCGTGCCTGGATGCAAACAGATTGGGTATGCTTAATATTATTCAAAGCACGCTAAATTGCGCTCATTTTAGAAGGAAATTTAAAAGTTCATTTGAAACGTAACTATATAGGCAAGGTAGAGCACAGGTCAGCCACCGTTTGCTTGACGGACGAGAGCTTAATATGGCAAAGATAGGTTCAGGCAATTATGGGCATCTGAGCACGCACCACACTTGCAATCCGTAGTAAAATTTCTCACTTTTGTCTCCATCTCCCTTCAACCCGTATACTCACGGGTCAGGTTGACAACTGCTGAGACGACGACAGCCTTGGCTCCGTGTGATATCTTTGTGGGCTGGAGCATTTCGTAGAGTCGTCGAGTCATCTCCAAGTTTCCAGATTCGGTCGCCTTCTCAATAACACCTCTGCAAGAAGAATTGAAAAGAATTATAAGTAAAAATGTCAGCACTGTTATCATGCATCATGACTGGCTAAGGATGTAGAGTCGACGGAGCCGTGATGCTCAACCCAAGTCGGTACCGCCAAAAACTACATATTATGGCTCAGCAGCTGCGTTCCTTCATAAAACGGCACAAACATCGCCAAAGTACAGAATATCAGCTGGGCGATATTGACGATTCACTACACAAGAACATATAATAGTTACCTCGGTAGTTACCTCGTTACCTCGGTGCGGAGTATGCATTCCAAATCTACCACATACCTGAACAGGACGATGTCTTGGTTGCGCAGGAACTTGTCGAAGATCTGTTGTGCCTCGTTGTAGCGTTCGTTGACAAAGTGGTCGACCCAGAGCATGTTGGCCGCTCCCAATACACCTCGCTCGGCAAAGTTCTCGGCGAGCTTCACACCTGGAAGGAAGTTGAACACATAGTTAGGATATCAATCACAGTCGACGGAAAGGCATTTTCAAAATGTTTTACCGAGATCGATTTCCAGAAATCAAGAGTAGACAACAAATGTGCACAAATTTCCTCGCATTCTGCGCAGAGGTTGAACCACGTCAAAAAAGGTGGGCATTAAATGTCAACAAGGCGCGCCTCATATCCCCAGTTCCAATACAACATAAAGAGCAAACTACCACTAGCAGCAGGACACAGAGAACCTTCGCGAACAACACAATCATTCCACAGCCCTACACCGCTCTTTCCAAGTCACTCTACCCTCTCCCTCCCCCCCCCCCCCCCCACCTTCTCTCCCTATCACTCACAGCGAGGGTAGAGCTGCGGCAGGCCTCGCAGCATCCCCAGGAACCCGCCGGCCGGGAACACGTAGGTGCCACTGTCTTCTGTCGGCTGTGGTTTCCGGCACACCTCCTCCAGATGTTCCAGGAACTCCTCTCCGCGACCGGCGTTCAGGTAGGCGGTACACAGGCGGTTGTCGTACGATGTGGCCGATTTGAGCTCCTGTTAGAGGGAACGACGAGCGGTCAAGTGGTTGGTGGGTTCGGTTGGTTCAGAATATCTCAAGGTAAGGCGATACGATGGAAACAAGCTAGTGACTGATAAAAAATAGTACCATGTATCAGATTGAGCATTGGACGTTGTACTTATACACTTCTACAAGCCGGTCTCGAGACACCAACAGTAAAAGACAAATACATTCCCCACTGTTACACAATCATGAATAAACGGCTCATAAAACATGGTGGAACAATATGTAGCATTTACACGTATACCTCATTCCTCTCCCTCTCTGCCTCTCCCGCGTACTCACATCCTTCAGGTGGGCGCCGACGGCAGTGATGCCATCCACATCACCGTCAGCAGACAGGCGTGACATTAGGAACTTGAAGACGCGCGGCTGGGGGAAGGTGTTGCGTCCCAGCATTTCGGTGGTGAGGCGCACGGCCTCCTGCATCCGGTCGTTACGGACCAGTAGCTCCACCAGCAGTGAGAGGTCGTGGATGGACGGCTCCACCTTCTCTGCCTCCATCCTGACGGGAGGCGGCGTGGTTATTGGTGGCGTGTCTTTGGTAAAATGAGACAAAACATGAAAAGGAGCTCGGCGGATTTAAAAACGGTGGGCAGCAGCTGGGGGCGTATATTCAGTACAAGTCTGCCAGATGTTGACAACGTGCGAAAATTTGGACAGATGACGCTAGATGACATGATCAGACAAACAATCGATCACCTTAAAGGCATAGAGCCATTATCAAAGCAGCGATAAAGCAGCCGGGTGCAGCGAGATGACTAGACTGCCTTTTGAGTGATGCCGTTAAGAAAAAGCTGAAACTAAAGCCGAAACTCATCCTTCCAAGTCTCTCAGCGGTTACGTACTGCGGCAGGTACTGCAGTGCCTCGTCGATTGCTTGGGCTTTGATTGCGCGTTTCAGTTGGCTCTTGATCGTGTTCTGCGGTGGTTCGGCGGGAGTGGAGGCGGCCGGAGACTGGAACATAGACGTGCACTGTAGTGAGCAGGGAGTGCATCTGCAGGATCACATCAATATCCCTCTTGAATTGAACTTATTACAACATGAATAAGACGAAACCTCAACCATTTTGACCATAGGAAATCTCCCAAAATTACAGATACCAATACCGGCAAGAGCGGATTTGAGACCAAACACCAGCGTTCACAACTTCTCCATCCCGATACTCCAAATCCCGACCCCATAACATCCCACCACAAATAACTGTAGCTCTCACCTGTCTCTGCGCGTTCTGCCTCCTCCCCTGTCTGTTCTGTCCCTCCTGCGGCACCTGCGGCGGCGGGGGCTGGTGCAGCGGCACCTGCTGTCCCACCGCCGCCAGTTCCCCTCCTCCCGTCTCCAGCGGCGGACCCGGCTCACTGAACGGCACCGGTCTCCCGTGGCGCCTCAGAAGCGCCGCCAGTTCCCGGAGCATGTCGTCCGGTGCCGCCAGCCCCTCCTCCTGCAGCTGAGTCCACAGCACCAGCGCCCGGTCCGGCTGCTCGGCGGCCGACAGCGCGCGCAGCAGGTGACCGTACAGACGCAGACGGTCCAACCCGAACACGTCCCGCGTGACGGCAATCAGGTTCTCCAGCTCGGCAATGCGGCCCTCCTCGACGTAACGCTCGCAGATCTGCTCCAGACGGTGCGAGCGAGCCCTGGAAGCGTGGAGAGAAAAGAGGATGATGTATCAGTGGTTACGCGATTATCCGAAGAGCTCAATTTTCCATAACAGCTATGAGAACTTGTAATATTACGCAAGGCACGTCGCCAAACGCCAAGCGTAAAGACCAAGCGTAAGTGCGAAACTCTCATATAAGTTCGAGAAACAATTAATATAATGTCTGTTGGTTAATGCCTTTAATTCGGGTCGCCAAAACAGGCATAAGGCATCCCCCAACCCAAACTTTCATCACCGCCAACGTTCAAATGCCACGAAATATGTGGATCCGTGCACATCCAGCCCCCCATCTAAACTCACCTGAGTCCAGGCGTGTCCAGCACCTTCTTGGCCTGCCGCATCTTGCCGCACTCGATGAAGCTGAAGGCCAGGTCGTACAGGGCGTCCATCTCGCCGTACGTCTCCATGCTCAGATCCAACAGTCTCTGCAGCTGATCCGTATTCTCCTCCTTGATCAGCTGAGCCATCATCTGACTCCGCCACGGAAGCTGACGGTACTCCTTATGGATTCTCTCCATCTCATCCATGGCACCGACAGTGTCATTATTGGCGAGGTGCGCTTTGACGAGCATGGCCAGCAGAGCGCGGTTGGGTTCCATGACGTACCGGTCGTCAATCAGAACCCGCAGGAGTTGGCGTACGTCCTCCGGCTTACCGCGCTGCGCCGGACCGTTCAAAAGCCGCCAGGCGGCCATGAAGAACGGACGGTCGTCCCGCTTGTGGTCCTGACGGCTGTCGCGTGGCTGGGTCTGAAGGAACTGCACCGCCTCTGTGGAGGGGAGGGGTAAATGGAGATTAGGAGAGTGACAATGAGAAGCGACTTCTAGAAGCTCATATTGTGATAACTCGATAAAAGTTACCACCCAACATATTCTCGCAGCCCATCCCCACCCCCAACCCTCCCATGACCGCCCAAGCTCCCAAGTCCCAACCCATCCCGTAAACACTCTGCGTCCCCTCACGACACCATACCGCCCCTCAGTATCCAGTCCAGTACCCTCCCATACCCTCAAATCCTTCCGTAGTGCCGTCCCTCCCTTTCTTTTCTCAGACATACCGTCCACTTTATCGTTGGCGACCATGAGTCTCGCCAGCCGCAGCACGCGGTGGTCGCTCAGAGCGCCCGGCTCGGCCGCCAGAATATCGTTATAGGCCTGGCGGGCCTCGTCCAGCCTCTCGGCGTCCACGAGGATGTTGAACAGGCCGCTCAGCTGGCTCACAGTCAGCTGCTCGCCGGCATCCAGCAGCTCCTGATGGCGGTGAGGGCAAGGGAAGGGTGAGCGGGTATCCGGCTGGCGAGGGGACGTCGACATTTTGTTTATTTATATTGTGGTAAACAAAAGCATTTAGCTTACTTTAGAGAAACTGAGGAGTAATATGAAAGAAGTGTGACAAACAAGTCATCATACAACGAAAAACAAAAAATCACAAACTGGTTAGACTCGCTATAAAAACATACTGCATGACGTACTAAGCTCCGACTCAACAACATAACTAAACTAGCCAGTACCCAGCAAGCAGGCCCTCTACAAAGTGGCAGCGACAGAGCATCACACTCACCTGTTTGACCTTCAGCGCCTGGTCCACCCGTTTGCGGCTGATGTGGCGGGCCAGCAGGTGGGAGAGGAGGGGAGCCACGGGCTCGCCGCTCTGCCGGGCGGCGGCCAGGTCCCGCTCCAGACGCGCGTCTAGCGCCTCCTGTCGGTCAGAACGGGAATACCAGTGACGATCGAGTTCGGACAGTTTTGAGTATGGAATGCAGCTTCAGCTTTTGTTACCTTGTTCATTCAATGCAGCTTAGTTACAGCAATGTTGCCAAGTCGTGTTGGCAAAAAAGCAATACACTCCCTCTATCAGCGGAGGGATGGAATCTTAAATATTTTTTTAAAAAATCACAAAGAGGGCGCCATGAAGTTTTATGTTGAATATGCATCATTGCACTGTGCACGCCTTGCCTATGCTCTTGTAAGCTTCACCCTCTATTCATACCAAAAAAATGGCACCAATCCCCTCCCCACCGCTCTATCACTGACCGGACTGTTGGCGCCGCGCGGCCTGCCCTGCTGGGACTGCTGGGGCCGCGGAGCGCTATAGTCGGAGGGCGGCCCGGTCGGCGCCAGCTCCGACTGACTGAGCTGCTCCAGCAGCTGACAGCAGCGGTCCGTACAGCCGTCCGACAGGGCCGCCTGGACGGTCCCCGCACAGCCCGGCGAGATGCCCAGGCCGCGCTGCAGCATCGCCTGGCGACGGGGGAGGGCTCGTGAGAAAGAGCGGAGTGATTGAGAGAGGGCAAATAGGAAATATTAGGTTCCATAGGCTACGGCACAGCGAACTTATCTTTATTCAGTAGCCTGTCATGATAAACTTATTGAAAGGACGTTTTTAGCCAGACACAAATGTGAAAATATTACGGGAGAGTTGGACGGAAGCCGGCGAACGCGTCCCCAAAAATGAAATCATCAAGTAGGTAATAATCAAAAATGAACACGCAAAAACGCATGGGAGCAGCCTGGGAGCTTGAATGCAAGACACCACACTGCTATCTCTAATCAACAGCTCTTGTTCTCAACCACCCCGACCACCCCATCACTCACTCTCCATCTCACCAAAGTAATTACACCAAAGCCATTCAGAATAACAGATTCTCAAACGCATAAAAGCGAGGTCATCCAAGTGCCACAATGATCACTAGAAGCAGCCCACTTCTGTGTACCCAGTTACCAGCAACCACCTCCATCTCACTTCGCCATCACTTGTGCTCCATTCCGCATACCTCCAGCATGGCCTCCACGGCGGCGGCGCGGTCGTCCTTCAACATGGGCAGCAGCTCGGTGAGGAAGCCGTCCGTCACGTCCGTGGTCGTCACGTTCAGGTCCGACGCCGCCTGACACATGTGGTGCAGCAGGTGCACCGCGGAGGGGTCGCGGGCGCGGGCGTACTGGCCGGCGACCGCCTGACGCAGCGCGAATGGACTGAACAGCACGTTATACCTGTGGAGGGAGACAGTGGTGAGTTTGGGTTTACAGAGCCGCAGAAGGTATCACATAGTCGGTGACGGATCACGGGAGTGAGAGAGGTGTGTAAAGCTACGAAGGTCGAGCATTGGAGTCTGGAGATACAGCTGGCTCACCAAAACGAGCCACAAAATCCCACGCGCTGAGTTTTACCGTTCATTTCGGGCGTTATGATTACGAGCTATCGCATGTTTTCCGAATGATACATTACGATCCACAGACAACATACGATGAAAATGATTCCAGAAGCAATCTCGCAAATATTATATAATTAACATGCAAAACGCAAATGAGACACAAAGGTTTTGGGACAAAACTAAGAAATCAAGGTAACAAATAAGCTGAGACAACCGCTTCGCCCTCCTCCCTCTCTCCTTTCACTCTCACCTGTCAGCCACAGCGTTGGCCATTGCCAGCTGATCGTTGTTGAGCAGGTACTTGCACAGCGCCGGCGCAGAGATGCCGTAGCGCACGCCGATGTTGTTGAGCTCGTACAGCAGCTTGTCCCAGGTGACGGCCGTCTCCAGGCCGGGCAGCACTTGCTCCGTCAGCGTGTCGATGCCGACGTTACACTCGAGGCCGCGCATCAGCGACAGCACGCGCAGCACGTCTGTGGGAGGGGGAAGAGTCAGACGATAGGAGCGGTAGGTAGTTGTGCGAGGCACTCGAAACCAATAACGTGGGAATCCTTTAGAATCTCACCAGGCGCAAAAAGTGTGATAAAGTGCGTGCCTTAATTGCAGCGGTTACAAAATGCAACGATCGTTGGAGCTGAACGAATCGAGGAGAGAGCATGCGCCTAGTAGCAAAATGACAGTGACTGAGAGGGGCGAGGGTGGTAGCATCGTGTATCGCGCCGAACGCTCAACTCAGCACGTCCGAACATTGAACAAGCGAACGCATTACGAAGGAATGCCATCTGAGCATGTGCAGCGTCGGGTGGCATGCTGACTGCAGCTACTGTAATGAAACTCTGGCAGGGGATTCAGCAGAAGGCGTGACCCTCGGCGCAGGTAAGGCGTGGAGCCGAGCCGACCGGAGTCCAGATATGAATGGGTCAGACCGGACCACAGACTTACTAACGCACCACAAGTGAAAAAACCTCTGTCCTGACAAACTGTGAAATTAGTTTCCACTATCACCACAAATAGAAACACAATGCCTGTCGAAGAAGAGGCTGCATTCTCTACCTTACCTATTTCCCGTTACCTCACGGCTTTGGGCTGTGCGTTCGCTCTTGCATTCAGACCCTCCCCGCCCACCACAGCTCCCCACCCCTTCCACCCTCGCCTCTCACCGGGCAGGCTTTGGTTGCGTTTGGCTGCGATGATCAGTGGCCAGAAGTAGTGCGGTCGGACCGCGAACCCGTGCTCGGGAAGAGCGCGCAGCAGACCCTCTGCTGTCTCCAGTTCTCCCAGCTGGAGGGCCTTGTGAAGGGCCACCAGCACTGCCTTCTGGTTCAGACCGGACTCGCGCAGAGCCGAACAGTAGTGGAGAATCGCCGGCAGCGGCTGTGGATGAGAAGCAGAGGATCGGTGTAGGTCAATGTCAGGCTGCCACTCGTGGAGACAAGAGACTAAGTGCGAACAAGATTGAGCCTATTTTTGATTATATTTTGCTCATAATAACAATGTATATTCAACTGACGAAAACAATAGTTAACATAAATATAGGTATCAATTAAACTCTCGGACCGCGGTAAAATCATATCTTTTTCTTATACTCAATCCTTCACCGACCACTATAATTACATACTATCTCATTTTCACCCTCACTATCTCACCGACCACTACCTCATTTCAACTACACACGCCTAGCATTCATCCGGTTGCACTTTAACGGCAAAACCCAGCCCCTGTCACCCTAGTTTAACTTACCCGTCTGGCGCGGACCATCTGCCTGATGAAGAAGTTGCCGACGCTGAGCGCCTCGCCGGACTGCGACTGCGGCAGCACCATGGTCCGGAGGAGGCTGAAGCCGACGTCCTCGTGGCCGGCGTTCACCAGCCGCAGGATCACCGTCACCGCCTCCTGGTTGAAGCCGGCAGACTTCTTCAGGCCGGAGAGGACCTGACAAAGGCGAAACAGACGTCAGTGAAGAACAGAACCACTCGAGGGCATCTCAAAGCATGGATATACTGAGTATTGTTATCCAGAAATGGGAACAAATCCCAAGCGCTGTTTGCAACCATGAGGTGATTGACTATCTTGTGAACCTATAACCAACAAGCCGTTACTCCCTGTGCAAAAATGTTATGTTTAAGCAGAAACAGACACTTTCGTCAGTCAAGAAATTGCATGACCCGGCTTATTCAAATACGTTAGCTTTTGCTCGCGTCAATCGCACGCATAGAGATACATGCGTGAGTCTCTTCTCGTCCATCGCTCAACCGGCCAAATGCTGTTTGTGTTCATGTTTGTGCTGTTTGCGCTGTTTATACCTCTCACTCACCTCATTCAGATGCTGTTTGTGTCCTGCCACGGTGAGACTGTAGATGACCTCCAGTATATCTCGGTCATGCAGCACCACCTCCTCGCGTTCGGCCTGCTCCAGGGTGGCCTTCACACCTGCCAAGTCCCCCTGCTCGGCGTGCGCACAGGCCAGGTGGCGGAACGTCTCGGCAGATGGCTCCAGGTGGGCGCGCTTCATCATGGCCACCATCGACTGCGCCGACTCCAGGTCACTGGGGGGAGGAGGGCAGAGGTCAGTTACAGGTCACTGGAGGGGCGTGGTTTCGCGAAAAACCGCAGGGGGTGTTTAAACACCTATCCCCCTTCAGCAGGGCGAGGGTTAAGAGAGGAAATGAGAGGATTCCACGACTGAGTAGAGAGGTAACGCAGCCTGTGTAGGAAAAGGGAGGAAGACGGGCAGAGAGAGTACGATTTGTTCTCTTGAAGAAGTTATAGAGAACTCTAAGTCTTGGAGGTTGTTCCCGTACGTGTTTAAAGACGCAAATGAATTCGGTAGGGCACCTGATCAGCGCACGTGTCGGCAACTTTGTCCGTTCAAATAGGATTGAAATTTAAGGTATGGCGCTTCAGGTCAGGTTCAGATTCATTTGATTTTGGTTTACTTGGAAAGGATCGAATGCGTAAAGGGTCGCTAGCATAGGTTAGCGTTGAGACGTTACGCAACTGGTCTGTCCACTGTCCAGCTGGGTGTGGGGAGGGGAGAGCCGGGAAGGGAAGGGGAGGGGCAGGGGACGTCTGTCTGACATTTGACTCCGCTAATGGGGAGGGGAGGGAGGGGAGGGGAGCTCAGCAGGGGAGAATAGGGGAGGGGATGGGAGGGGAAGGGAGAGGAAAGGGACGTCTGTCCGACCGGCCGCAGCACGACTTCACAAAGCGGCACAGCGGAGCCGGCTGTTTCACCGGTGATAGCAGCACGCTGCTATTACACGTGTCAAATTGGGTTTCCATGGAGACGTCAACAAGCCTATTCCTGCAACACTACCACTTACCAGAAGTGTGACGTCAGCTCGCGAAATGGAATAGCAGCGTGCTGCTATCACCGGTGAAACAGGGCCCGGGTCTGTTTGTTGGAGTGACGCGACTTGCGACAGTATGCTATTCTGGTGAGGCCCTTACGTGTGCCACCCCATCAGGGTTAGATCCAGTGCCGATGCACCGCGCCGTGCCCCTGACTAGAGATGATAATTTGACCGCTTACAGTCGAGGCCATAAATCGTAACAGAACCATGAAGCGTATAGGAAGCAGCCTCATCAGGCCATAACATAAGCAGTTGCTTAGACATTAGTTTACCGCCCCGTTAGCTGTTAGACCACGCATTTGTTGGAACATTCAGGCCCTGTGTGCAGCCGTACTGCTACTGGAAACTGCACCTCCAGATGGGGCACAGATGACAAACCGCGGTGCGTGCTGTCGCCGACAGACCAATCGGGCTATTTGCGTCTGAGGGGCCGATCGTTGAAGCGATTACTGCGTAGACGCCGGACCTCGTCGAGCGACCGTTTTACGTAACCGCCACAATTTAGAGAGGTTAAACGAATCAGATTGCCACCGCTTCGGATTGCAAGCACTACTCGTATGTAATTCGAGATCATATCGTAGTAGCATATTGACAGCGAGATGATTGCATCACTATGGCCCAAAAATGACAAATGTTACGGCATTTCGAACACGCCGATAACCTCAGGCGAGCCACCATGTGACGTTACAATAAACATCTCTTCGTGACTGCCGGCATTATTCTAAACAAGCAATAGGGAAACATCAGTCCGAGCAGGGACGAAGTTCAAACTTACTTGGCTCGTGCATGTCCGACGACCAGGGCGTTGAACACCTGTTCGTTGATGGCTAGACCGTTCTCCTTCATGTGTTCGAGGATGCGGGTGGCGCCCTCAATGTCACCCAAAAGACAGAACCTGTCGGCACGCGGAAGGCCGGGGTAAACACAGAGCACGTGCGGCGTGAGCGTAAAGCATGCCACACATGACGGTGCGCGTACCGATAAACCCGCAAAAAACGAGGCGACGCCGCGATGAGCGATGTCCATAAAAAGCGGCAACAGGGAGGAACAGTAGACTTTTTTTTTAAACAATGTATTCAGCTTATGACATCGTTTCACACGGAAAGATAAGAAGAGAAACAACAGAATAAACTGATCGCCTAGTGACTCCCAGCATCCTACACACTTTTACAATCGTTTTTAGCTAGACCGGTCAAATGCTTCAGCCAACCCTGCCCACTTCTTTTCATGGTCACATAATTTTCCCCTTTTAAAGGAAATAGTTCACTTTCACAAAATTATTTTTTTTGCAACGATTTATTATTTTTTATGTTCAAAATAATCAGCAAAGAAAATAAAACCTTTTTATAACAAAAGATTTTTTTCTATATTTTGATATAGGAAGAACTTTTCAGTTTCTGTAAGGCACAAGCGATCCAGTATGAAAAGAGCATGGGTCCCGAAAATTCTTCAGAAACAGAGAAATTATCGCAGCCACCGGCATTTGGGCGATCTGCTCGATCTGATAATGTTCCCCTGAATGTCCTAATTGATCAGTACGAGAATTTCTCTAGAGTTCTCGTAGATAATTTCTCTAGTTTCTGAAGAATTTTCGGGACCCATGCTCTTTTCATACTGGATGGAAATATATGCAAGGCACACATCCTCAACGCAAGACACCTTTTTCGGGACGAGAAATAGAATATCTTTGCCTAGGGTGATCGTTGGGCTGTAAAAGCTCCTGATTTATGCTCGTCTCAGCCCAAGCTACGGAACTGCTATTCCAGTTCAAAACCCATGTTAAAAAGTGAACTATTTCCTTTAAGCGCTATGTGTTTTTCCGTGATCATATCCCTTTTCAATATAGTTAATAAAATGTCAACAGAAAGTAGGTATTTACCAGCAATCATCGTTTTGCCTACGATGATGATATGATTAATAGCCAGCAATTCATCATTTCCTAGAATTATCATTTTTAAGTTAAAAAAAGACATGTTTTGAACCAAGCCTACGTTCCTCAGATATGTTTCAACGTCCTTCCAAAATGCTCTGATCAATGGACAAAACCAGAATCTGTGCATTATAGTATCAATACATTGCGTACATCTGTCACATCTATACGATACTGTTATGCCCATTTGGTAAAGTAAACGTTTTGTTGCCACAATTCTCGTTAAAATTTTGTATTGTAGTGTTCGATATTTAACCGAAATTAGTCTAAGATTTGCTTCATATACTTTCAACCAGTCAATCTGTCCCATCTCTTGCTCCCAACCCAACTCCCAACTATTTTTACTTCCCTTGTATTTATGATGTAGAAGTGTGTTATAAATATACTTACTGCCTTTTTTCTGACTAATGATCGCTTGAACATTTGGGTGAATAATAGGATATGCTTCCTTTACTTTGCCTTGTCTGTTTTTCCATTCAACAGGCAGACTATGTACCAGACCTAGATAATCTATTATTGTCCCTTTCAGATCATAAGTAGCTTTTGCTTCCTCAAAGGACATTATTTCTCCATTGTCCCTTAATAGGTCATTGATGTAAACTATTCCTTTTTGCCTCCATGCTTTTATTTCATAGTTTCTAAATTTTGTATGATTTGAAAACCACACGGAGTGTCGATTAACATCTTCTATGTCCACCATGATGCTCTGATCATATTTTGCCATTGCTCGTACAACATCTGTCCAAAATTTATTGGACATATTTCTTCCCATTTCCAATAATGAATCTGCATTGCGCTCCCAGATAAACTGGAATCGTGCTATTTCTTGCCTAAACAACTTGCGCCAGTCATGATTACCCATGATTTCTCTCCTCACCCATGTAACTTTCAGGGCGGTATCGTACGTGTCAACATCTACCATATTACACCCTCCCTTTAAATGATCTCCATAAATACTACTACTTTTCAACCGATCAACTTTTCCGTTCCAAATGAACTGGAATAATGTCGCTTTCAACTTTTTCATAAACTCCTCTGGCGGACTGGGAAGTGCTGTGAGTATATGTGTCAAAATCGGTAGTAACAACGTCTTGATGATAATGATTTTACCACCCAGCGACAAATTGCGTCTATTCCAGCTGGCAATAATTGCACTAATTCTCGTTAGCTTGCTGCCATAGTTTTCTTCCACTGATTGAGTCTCGTCATTAGCAAAAATGATTCCCAGAACCTGAAGTTTCTTTGTCCATCTTAAAGCCAAATCTGAACAAATTGGCTCTCTTGTTTCTGCATCTTTACCTACCCAAAACGCCTGGGTCTTCTTAATATTAGGTTTTAATCCAGAGTATTTAGCGAAGATTCCTAGGTCTTCGAATAAAACCCTACAACTATTCACGCTACCATCTAAATAGCACATCACATCGTCCGCGTAAGCAGACATCTTGATTTCCAAATCACCTACTCTGACTCCAGAAATATTTCTGTTTTGTTTAATTCTTTGAAGCAATGCGTTCATTACAATCACAAAAATATATGGGCTAAGCGGGTCTCCTTGTCTACATGATCTTCCTAACTTGATCCGTTTTGATATATGTCCATTATAAACAATCAATGAGGCAGCCTCTGAAGAAAGCGTATCGAACCACCGAATACAAAATGCAGGGAAGTTTAACTTCTTCAACATTATGCGAATGAAGTCCCAGTTAACTGAATTAAAGGCATCCTGAATGTCCAAGCTAAGAAATAAAGCACTTCTCTCTGTACTATTTAAATGATGAATAAGGTCATATGTAAGTCTAGTGTTGTCACCAATAAATCTACCCTGTATAAAACCCGTTTGTTCATGACCAATAACATCTGGTAAGACCTTCTTTATTCTATTTGCTACTGCAGATGCAACTATCTTATAGCTCGAATTTAGTAACGTTATCGGCCGATATGATTTTATTTCATCTTTAGGCTTCAGAGGTTTTGGAATGAGTGTTACAATTCCCTCAGTTAAAGACGTTGGTAGCCTACCATTTTCATAGCTTTCCATTACCATTCTATGGAAAAAAAGTTTTAAGTCTTTCCAAAATAGCTTATAAAATTCTGCTGGAAATCCATCTGTTCCCGGCGCCTTATTATTCGACATTCCTTTTAACCCGCGCCCTGGTGGGGGGGGGGGGCTATTTTTTCCCCCCCTCCAGACTTTTCGATATATCTCCAGAACCGCTGCGCCGATCGTCACCAAACTTTCAGTACCCTCCCGGACATCAATTTTACACATTGTGACCAAAAATTTTTCCAAAGGCTATGATAGGTTGGCCGGAAATGACGTCAGAGTGACGTCATGTTCTGCCGTTTTCGACCCAAAAAAGGGTTTCGCGGGAAGAGCTGTCAGGCCTATAGCTTTGCAAATACAGAAAAACGATTAAGACATAAAAGCTGTAGAATTTACAGGGCTACAAAACTGCTATCTCGGATTTTTAAAATATTTGGATTTTGACCCCCAAAAATCAAAAAATAGATTTTTTGATTATAATAGCCAAAAAATCCAAAAAGTTTTTTGAATTTCGAAAAAACCGGAATATATGTGATAGTCCTTACCGCCTTCTATCTACATACCAAATTTGAGATCGATACCTCTTTTTTTGGCCAAGTTACAGCGAAAAAACTGTTCAAAATTGATGACGTCAAATTTTCAAACTCAATTTTTAGCAATTCTAGACCTTGTAGCGCAAAACAAAGACCACCATTAGACTCCCCGTGACGAGCTGCATCGAATCAATACCCATTTTATGCAAAAATATCAACTTTGAAATTTGACCTTTTTTGACCTGACCTTGACCTGACCTCCACCAGAAAGTGACCTAAGCCGTACCTGATAGTCTTATAACCAGCACCATTGAGTTGGAAATGAAAAATTGGCCATAAAACATGCATCGCACAACCTTAGTACCTAAAGTTAGGTTCATGTGACCTGGCCTGTGACCCTTGTGACCTGACCTGTGACCTGACCTGGTAATGTCAGTGACCTCTTATAGCAATATATGTACTAGGCAACTGACGCCCTATCGCTGATTCTCGACAAAATGCGTTTTCTTCGGTGTTATAGCGCATTCCCTAGATGACCCGTGAACGGTGAAACATTTCATCTTTGACCTGACCTGTGACGTCATCGGTGACCCCGAGGTCAATGAAATTTGGTTTCCTTCGACAAATTTGACAGGCCTTTCGAACGCCGTTTGAATTTTGCGGATCCGTCCAGTAGTTTCGGAGATACGAGGGGGGGCAAAAAATAGCCCCCCCCCCCCCCCACCAGGTCGCGTTATAAACAGACCCCACCAGGGCGCGGGTTAAGGAATCTGTAAGGTCCTGAAGCGTCACCGGTCTATTCAATTCCTTAAACTGTATTTGTGAGAGCTGTTCCATATGTAGATCATCTACAAATTTCTCCGCCTCTGTGCAATCAATGGGCTGTTCAGTAAATAACTCAGAAAAATGTTGAACTAATATATCCATTATTTCTGTTTGTTTCGTTTTCCGTTCATTATTTGCATCACACAGGCAAGCAATGTTTTTATTAACATAATTTCTTTTTTCTAACCCCAAGAAGTATGCTGTCGATTTCTCACCTTCCTCGTACCAGCGAGCCCTGCTTCGTGTCACAATACCCTCCATTTTTATTTTCCTAAGGCCCTCTAATTTTTCCCTACAGACTGATAGTCTTGACTGTACTTCGTCGGACGTCTCGCCTTCTTCATGATCTCCCAATCTTTGAATTTCCTTAATTACTTTGAACTCTTCTTCTACTAACTTCCTACGTCTATGAATTGAATAGGAAATCGTTTCAGTACGCATGTTCAGAATCAGAGCTTCCCAAAATGCACTCCAGGTGATCATCACCTCAACTTCTGTTGGTTTTTCTCTGACAAAAGTAACTGAATAAACTGGAAGGGCATAAATTAAAATCGTGTCCCTTA